TTGGTCAGTTGCTTGTACGGGAGTAGACGTAAGCTAGTATAAGAAACTAGATATACTGGTGTCGTTGAGAATAAGGATGGAAGTAAATGCACAGTCATCAATGTGTCAGTCAGTCGGTTGGTGGACAAGTACGAGTAAGTGTGTGGCTAAGTAGGTAAAATAACGTAAATGTAGACTAAGTGAACCGGTCAGCTGTCAGGAGTTCAGGTTGGTGGTCAGTCAGTAATCGTAAGTTCGGATGTACCGCAGTGATGTAATGTTAGTGAAATAATAGTTAAAATGTACCAGGTAAATAAGGTTGTGGTGTGTTGATCGGTCAGTCAGTATAAGTAAAAGTAATCCGTGTACATGTATGTAACTAAAATGAAGTGACAGTAATCAAGTAAGTAGTGGTAAGCTGTGACAGTATAAAAGTGTAAGCAGTAGTTTTTAAGTATGTAATTAAGTAAATAAGTTGGTTCAGGTCATTGGTTGGTCTGTTGGTCGACCAGTCATTTGTCGGTCGGGGAAAAAAAAGGAAAGTGGCTAAGATTCAGCGCTGGATGTTATTAATTTACTTGACTGTTCGGTTGATTATTCCAAAATAATAAATCTGTTATCTTTTTCTTCATCAGAAATAAAAATTGCTCTTGTGAATAAGCTGCAAAGCAAAAATAAATAATAGGAATATGAAAACACTTGAATGTTAAAAGTTGAGTCGGTAAAATCAAATGAAGCTAAAAATTAAACTCACCGATATAAAAAGCAGTAATGTTTCAAACAGAAAATTTGGACTGTGGGATAGTGCGAGTACAAATTGGAAAGCAAGTGATGAGAATGTTGAAGCCTGCAAGCGTTGCAGTCAACTTGCAAAGCTAAAAATATGGCACCCGAGCAAGCGAAGCAGCTTAGTGAGCGCATGACAGACAGACGCCAGGGATAGGTTCTGAAAAGAGAGAGGGTAGGGCTGTTAAAAAGATCATTTTGTAGGATGCACACATACTGTCAAATATTTCTACTAAAGAGACAGCAGTACTTTGAGGATGGAGTGAGGTGATGAGAAGAAAGACTTTGAAGTGAATTGGCATATTAAATGAAGCCCATCCAGTCTGGGTGGAGAAGTTTCACTTTTGCAGAGTTTGGGACAAGTTCTGTGGTGGGACTTGACGAGGCTGGAATCCACACGGTTGACGATGAAGGGGAAGGCATCCTTGCCAGCCTTACAGGATCCGGAAGCGGGGAGGAGGAACGACAGATGACCGATGACCCTGCTTGCTGAGCGAGCCGTTTCTACTTTTCGAGGTGAGTCGATATGGAGAAAGCTAGGACAAAGATTCGGCATTGATGAGGAATACCTTCAAGGAAATAGGACGGAAGACCTTCAGATTAGTTGTGCACGTCCCACTTTCAAGTGGCAAAGTCTTTTGTGGTATTTTCTTGGGCTTTCAATAACACTGCCTCGAAAAACAATCCGCCTTGATTCAATGTGCACAGAGTTTGAACGTGCATCTGTATAATCTTGGTAATTTGGCAAAAGATGAGTTTACCCACAGAGCACTGGCAATGGAATGGGGCAGAGGCGGGACAGTGTCCCCTCCGCATTTTGGACTGGGGCATCCCCTCCCCCCACTTTTATCAGTTCCTGTGATGGGTTAGGACTTAAGGGATCAGCCTATTAATGGCCGATGCCCGATGGTCTCACAACTGGCCCCTCATTCCGATGCCATTTCTCCAGATCGAATATCGGATTTCACTTCTGTGTTCTTTCATATTTGCAATTCACAGCAAAGTGCATCGCCCAGCCCAGGAGTTACTGCACGGATGAACCCCAGATGCCAGGTCTCTAATCAAGACCGTGGTTGGTAGATTGGCTATGTGTCATTGTGACGTTAGGTTAACAGGTTTCTTGTTGGCCTTGACTTTTCTTTGTGTTTTGGAGGTTTGGCTTGCTGCACATTTACTAATCTCCTTGCAAAGAAGGTTTCTTCTTATAAACACTGATAAGCATCTTTTTGTCTTTACTTGTAGATTCTTCTTGCTGAAAGGAAGTGACAGCAACCGAACCCACACCCCTTAAATGAAGCAAGAAATTTCAGGAAGAATGAAAAATAAAAAGATTTCGGAGCGTTGTGTTGTATTCCTAGGGCACGGAAGTCTCTTTCCCACCTGGGCCTCGTTAGGCCCGTTTAGCCCCGCCCTTGCTGTGGACTACTGTGGTCCTGTGAAGAGGTTGTAAACTTGTTTCAGGACCAGGCAGAGGTATTGTCGGCCTTCCTCTTCTTAATCTTCAGAGTGTTCCTTTTCAGTAAATGAATATTTTCAACAAATGAGTTTCTAATCTAACCAGTAATGTCTTGTAATGTACAAGACATCCCAGGTTGCAGTGTCAAGCATGACTTCTGAAATACGTAAGTCCAGTCGGTAACGACAGGCAAAAGCAACATATTTTGAAATGTTTATCTTTCAAAAGTCCTCTTGAAGCTGTTGTTCCCATGATAGTTTTTGGTTAAAGGACTGTGAAACCAATCAGTAGAGATTGGAAAAGGGAAAGGAATGTGTGCGATATAAATGTTCATCTATTCGTTGTAAGTCCAATCGCAGAGATTGGCAAAAAGTGAAAACCCCATCGTCTCAGGAGCAGGGGCTTGTAGCCACTGGGACTAATCAAAATTCATTTCTGAAATATTATCGCAGAACTATTTAGTGAGAAGTCTACTTCCATTCCCCGGCATTCCGTATAGCATTTGTGGATTTGCGTGAGAAAAATACTCTCACTCTTCAGTTGCATATCGCGCTTTGAGATGGATCCATCAAGTGCTTCAATGATGCGGCCTGTAACACTGAGGGACAGAGGACTGCACACAAGGAAAGGGTGATCATGCAGTTGCAGCTAAATTTACTTGTAGGAGAGGTAGCTAGGCACTGTAGTCAGCTAGGCTTAGACTATACTTCAATCTGTTTTGTTTTTCAATTTTTGTTTGGCACAACTGGATTTCAAGTTGAATCCATCCTGGTAGGTTAGGCTTAGACTGAGAAGTATTAAAAAATCCCTGTCAGGTCAAGTCAGGAGACTTGCTACTGGTAACCTGTAGTCCGGTACAACCTGTTTCAGGGTCGGGTCGTCGGCGACTAAACTGGCGCCCCCACCAGATTCCCTCGGGAGGCTGGTGAGGAGGGTGGCTGGACACCCTGGTGGAACTAAAGAAAAAATCCATCTCTAAGGGCGTCGGCTCAGGAGAGTCAACGACGGCCATCCAGCAACTCCAAGCTTTATTATGGGCTCAGTAAACTGACCTTTTCCTTGTTTCTTTGTTTAAGGATGCTGCTGAAGCCCAGGTACCGGAAACAGGGATGCCACAGAGGAAGTCCGACAGACGGCTGCCGACCCCTCATGCTGAGCATCCCACGCATACGTTTCTTGAGGTTAGTCTGTTATTGAAGAGCACCGACAAATGTCTGAAAATAAGGATTGCTTCTGCTTGTCTAGTGGACGCAAATGATGAAAAGCAAATGATGACAACCGTGGCCAAGTCCAATACGGAATTAAACTTTGGAATTCCAATACAGACAGTCTGAGAAACTGTTCAAACGTCTTCAGAGAAAAGTAACGCTGAATTTTTCTCCTCATTTTATTTCACATTCATTTCTTTCAATGCACAGCTTGGAAGCAACTTTTGGCAGTTGGAGTTCATCTCGGATGCGGAGTTGACCAGTTCACTAGACAATGAAGGTAAAGGACAAGATTGTAAAATCTTGAGTTGACCGAAAATAATGAGGCCCAAGCTTGCCTGCATTGAGAAGTGTTTTAGTGTTTCTCAGTACAGGATCTGAAGCTGGACTTCTTGAAGATGAAGAGACAGCTGAGGAGCCGATGTGAGAGGACAGCATCCCTGACATTGTCAGGAGCCAGGAGCTGGGAGGAAGGACAAATGACAGTGTTGACAGCATGTAATCACCATTTTATTCAGTGTTGACAATTTCTAGGATTCGAGGGGTAGAAACGTACCGAAAGATCAGGCGGGTAAGCAGGAGGTCGTGGGTTCGAGTCCCACCCGAGTAAGCTTCTGACTTTTTTCGCAAGCTCTCGGAGAAGCACTGAGCATACAGTGTTTATTAATATATAAGGGCAAAGGTAAGGGTAAGGGCAAAACTTGTTATATAAATTAAATCTAATAAAGTATGCAAATACTGTTTTGAAAGATTCGTTTATAAAATAATGAAGGATATACAAGGAATTGGTCTTGATAAAAAGGGGTGGGTAGAGGTAGAGCAGCAGATGCAGTAAGTGAGTGAGTAATTGGTAAGTGAATATAGAGACGCACTGTAGTGTACTTGAATGTCAGTCAGTGAGGTTCCGTGTGCTTTAGAGAGGAAATAGATGAGAGAATTTAAACCTAGGGAGTGAATAATATGAAATCAGTCAAATTGACTCACAATTCATAATGACTCATAATTGTGTAAAGTTCCTACTTTTTGATATACATGTACAATGACTTTCACATTTTCCCAAGCTACAAGAACGCATAGAGCAGTGAGTTTGATTTGTCTTTTACGGATCTGCTCTTGATATCATAGCTTTTAGGGATGGTAAGATTTGGTGAAATGCTTTGTTAAATAATTGTATGTGCAACTGTATCAAAATAAAAATTAAGAAAGACGTGTAATCGGCAGATTTGTCCTGTGCTTTTGCAGTATTATACAATAAATGTCAGTGCTGCTCTGATAATTACTTTCTTAAGCCATAAATTTTTTTGACAAACTGGGGGATATTTAGCAGATGCATGGACAGAAATTCAAATTCCGGGGGGGGGATATGGACCTGGGGGTATTACCAACATAACCATTCCCTCACTTTTCAAGTGACAACATATTTGGATTAAATTAAATGAGTTTCATAAAACCTTTGCTCAAAGGCGTCATGCATGGGGGCTTTACAGACAGCTTGACAGTGTAGATGTGGGTACCCTATCTCCACAGAAAAGCCACATTTTACCAAAGAAACTTCCTTGGTGAAATATGAAAGAATTATATGAGGGGCACACTTAGTTTGTGGTCATATCTGCAGTTCTAGATGGTTGGCTAATTGAAATGCAGATGGTATCAAAATTGGATCTGGATCTCAAGGGGGGGGAAGGATTGCCCCTCACTGGAAAACGTCCATCCAAAATATTAAGGGTTAAAACTTTATAACTGAAGTTCCTTCCGGTACCAAATTGTATATGAACTTATCTATATTTTATTTTATTTGGTTGTAATTGTGTAATTTGAAAGTTTTGTATTTCTTATGTATCAGCTTTTAGCTTGTTTATGGTATTGTAGTTAATTGTCCTTATTTTTAATCTTTTTAATGGTATGTAGTGTACAGGACATGGAAAGCATTTTTAAATAATTCATATTATTATTATTATATCTGAAGCAGTTGTGAAAGATATCTTATTTCAAGTTGGAATGTGTACCACCGAATGGGAAAGTATGTTTATTACAAGTTACTACTTGGGGTTAAAGGCAACTGAACCTCCCAGGGACCCAAATCAACAATGCTTCCGCTGGACCCTGTTCAACTTATATTAACTGCATCTGTCATGTCAGAAGGATAATGTAGGGATTGGGAACCAGTCTAGCTTTAGGGGATTCCCCACCGCATTGCAACAGCTCTGGTGGGTTATGAATATTTCTTTTAGTATACAAACAAGACTAGCAAGATGGATAGTGATCAGTAGATTAAATTAACAGGTTAGTAACTGTTTGTACCTTAATTGGACACACTTTTTATTTTATCAATTGTTTGTCCTCGTCTGTATTGTGTAATATATGTTCTATAAGGTAACGTCTTTATAAGTCCATAATTTGTTTTGAACCATAATTACTTTAATTGTTGATGATTATAATGATTACATGCATGTTGCATTTTGGCTGAAAACGCTCATTATATGTATGTACAAGGAACCCATATTCACAAGCTTAGCTTCTTTTGGGCCCCCCTCAGTCTTCACTCTCTTGTCAAACCATTTTTTGTAGATATTATGTACATGTATTTATTTGTGAACACTGTGGAATAAAATGAATGAATATCTTACTAAATGTGTGACTCAGTGTGAGTCCAACACAGAGTCCAACCCATGAGTGTGGCCTGGATAGGCATGGATAGGCCTGGATGGCCTGGATGGAGCTTTTGAATCAGGGACCCGCACCATCCGCCACATCTGTGTTGATTATCGGTGTGTTGAATCCTGAACCTCAAGCTCCACCGGGCCTCGGGTGTCTCGTCCACTGCAAACAAACTTGAATCGGATCTAGTACCGTTATCTTCAACCTCTTATTAGCGAACTTCAGAAATTTGAATACTGAGTGTGCATCTACATGGAAGAATTGTACATGCACCCATGCAACACATACACGCATACACACACTGCCGAACAACTGCATGCCATGACATCATGCATGATTCATATATTGCACGATATGCAAAAGAAGGACATAACGTACATGGTTTTGACAATAGTTGGACAACAGTCTTCAGAAGCTGAACAAGATATTTTTATTTATTCCTGTCTTTACTCACATCTAATCTTTGTATAATTACTAAATTTCTAATTGTTCAACATCATACTAGTTGGGCTTTAAATGGCCTATTCTACAATTTGAAATGCACTTCATTTTATCTATCAGGTAATGGAAAAGTGAACAGCGTATTGTTCTGTTCATCACATGTCACAGTCCTTGGAAGTATTTTGGCATTATTCTTTCAGGAATATTCCTATAAAGAGATTGATGGAATGAAAATATCGAAAAGCCATTCGCAGAGGAAGAGGTTCGCACAACTTGAAGTATAAATGACAAGAGTGAGGGACTGTCTGGACAATCAACAAGTGTGCCAAACTTCACTTTTGATATGAACAAGTCTGTATTTGCCACAGGAACAACACGTAAGTCATCATTGGTCATAGTTGGTTTTTTTTTTATTATAACTGCAATAAAACGATTGTGCACCATGCACCTAACAGTAAGCACTAGAGGTTTTGTACAATAATGTTATCGAATGTTTATTTGTCGGCACTGATTTTGAGGTACATGAAGTAAATAAAGCTGCTAAGCAATGTTTTCTACTCAGTAAAATTGTTTTCTTCACTTTAATCAGTTTTGATAGAATGATAGATTGGGTTCAGCCAATCTTAGCAATATCAGTGTTTTAAAGTGCTTAGACATCAGCTCTAGCATACCAAATTATACACAGTTTAAGAGGGTTTATGAAATTGCCTGTAGGCTGTACATGTATTGAAAGTTGACATTCTACTTCCTGTGGTGCTCATGACATGTACTAAAGTTTCCTTAAGTTCAGCATAAATTATCTTCGCAAATACCAGTGTTGGTGCCATCATCCCATATATTAGATAGATCAGTGTCCATTATGATTGTGCCATTTAGATACTTGTATATATTTCCTTGATTAAAGTATTTTACTACTATTTACAAAAGCAAACATTTGTAGGGAAAAATAAAACTGGAAATAATAGAGTAATTCTCTTACTGTGTCACAAAATTGTATTCTAAAAGCATATTTTAAGGTTATTATGAATAAAGTAACAGGCATTGATGCCCATGCCCAGCACTAAGGCCTTCATTGTTTAAAAATAATTAATTGATTAATTAATTAATAAAAAACCTTTTTATATCATTTGGTCTTGATTGGATTAAGAGAATAGATTACCAATAACATGTAGGACTAAACATCCTGCATTAAGTATAAACTAGGGGTGGGCTCCTGTCTTGGAATCAATAGTTTTTGACAGACTAATTACTTCTAAAAACACACGATATTTTTCTCTTCGTTTCTGCCTGGAGCTTTTGGAGTGACTGCCTCCACTGGTCTGTTTGGTCAAACATTGACATCAACAACACCTTTTGGCCAAACAGCCGCAGCAGGGACATCAAGTGGCCTGTTTGGGGCTTGGACAGGAGGATTATTTGGTGGCACAGCTCAAAATGGCACCACTGTCAAATTCAATGCAAGTATTGCCATTTTTAAGTCTTTTTTAATGGTAACTTTGGTAAGTGATATTATGGCAGATTTCGAAAGAACTGTATTTCCACTGCAGTCATACATGTAAGAGTTGAATATAATCTCATAAAATGTACATGTACGTTTAAATAAGTCATTTAATCTTGTGTTCTGCTTTTAATTATTAAAAACTCACATTAGTGTGCAGTGGTGCTGTGTGTCTCATCGCTGCAGTGGTGGAGCGCTTTTGTCCCTGGTGGTAATCCGCTCGCTCTAAACACCCCAAACTGTAGTATACTATTTCAAAACAAGGCTGGATTATCTCCACTTTTGAGAGTGAAAAATGTAGGTAATGCCCAGCAGCCTGGTCTTTTGTTCAGAGTACGGTCTTTTGTTACAGGGCCCTGTTCCCTTTGTCCGAGTTCGGAGACCCCGGTCACGAATATAAGGCCTATGGCTCTGCTACCGGAGCCCCCGGCAGCAAGTGGTTAAAAGCAGAGTGTCAACAAACATCAATACAAGACATCAGGTCATCACGGTGATGAAGGAATAGGAAGACAAAAGTTGTCCATGGAAAATGTGTCTTTTTTTCTCTTTCAGCCTGTTACTAGCACGGATACAATGGTTAAAAGCGGAATGTCAACAAACATCAATACAAAACATCAGGTCATCACGGCAATGAAGGAATATGTAAACAAAAGTTTTGAGGTGGGTAACATTTAACTTCAACTTTGTAAACTTTAAGTACTGCTTAAAAATTTTATTTTCCTATTTTCACCAGTAATATTTCTGTTTTAAATTTTTAAGGAGTTACGTGCCGAGGACTATATTGCCAATCGGAAAGGGTCAACTTGCTCAACTCTGCTCGGTCAAGGACTGACCCAAGTGGACAATAAGGCTGGAGGATTGTTTGGTCAGTCAACGACTTCATCAGGTGGTGGATTTACCTTTGGTCAGAACAATCCAACGTTTGGCACAGGAATGCAATGCAAGTGTTTTTTTTAAAGTCAGTGTTCAATGTCAGTGCCGCAAGCATTCAAATTTGCCTGTGGTAATAAAGACATACTCAGCAAAACAGTAACCCATCCAAGTATCATACGGCGTGTAGTATATTTTGACTGATATTTATGTCGTAAATACCCTATGCAGTGTTTGCTGATAAAAAAGATACCGGCGTTGTAGGGAATGTTTGATTTCCATGGAGCCATAGTCTACATAGCCATCAAAGTTTTAGAAGAAGTCTTGGTACAAACGTGACAGTTTGCCTTTTTGTTATGAAACAGTAAAAAAAAAATAACTTTTGTAAACTTTTAGATGTACATTTGAAAAAGCTGTTAATTTTTTAAGGTCAAAAAGCTTGAGTTTTGTCTCTGTAATCATTGCTATACTTTGTATTCTCAATAAGGTTTTGCAGCTGGGTTCGGTACGTCCAGTGGTGGTCTGTTTAGTGGACAGCAGACACATCAAAGTGGAGGTTTGTTTGGTCAGAAGACAGGCTTTGGGGCAACAGGTAGCACTGGATTTGACTATGGGGAAAAGTCCACCTCGGCATTTGGTCAAACTGCCAGCAAGGTTAGTAAAAGACCAATGGAAGGCCCATCTTAAAGGAGCCTGTGTTGAAGAACAAATATGGGGCAACTTACAATTTAATCTATTTTATCTCTGCAAGATAAAATTCATTATTCTCCACAGACACATTTTTTTTGGGGGGGGGAGGGAAGGTCGCGATATTTGTACTGTCCATCGCTGATCACCCTAGGGGTTTGGAATTTTGACAGGAGTAATAAATCTCCTCCAGTTGCACCAATAACCCTGAATGACCATAGAGGAAAGAGGGGAATCGGACTTAGCTAATGAGGGTAACCTCTCTTAGGAAGATGGATGATATACAGGTACACAATACCTGGAATACAATACCTATATGCGCGGCCTGGTTTGCGCCAAAAAGCCACATTGATTCAGTTTTTCGAAGCCGTCACATGAACATTTAACTCGCTCCAGATGAGAACTCACTTTCAAGACCAAATATTGTCTGATTGGTTTGGTTGTTTTGGACATTAAAGTGGATATTTACGCAATATATTCCTTTGCCCTTGCCAGTTGTGGAGGTTTGTGGGGCCAATTTTCGCTGGAGACGTCCGGGACTGATTGCCTTGTCATCAGGTCACCTGCAAGGCTGGGTTTCTTCTCAATAGAGTAGTTTCACATTTTATAGCAGCCAGCGATGCCCTGTTCGATCCAAGGGTGGAATACACGGGCCCACCACTTGTGCCCATTTGGGCACAAGTACTGGGCTTAACCCAAGTACATGTAGTTATGTCAGTACTTTTCCATGTAGTGTTGGGGCCAATGTTTTGATTGCTTGCAATTTAGTCATCCCGACTAGGACGCATGCTTCCCTCCCTTATTCTAACCCGGTGTTTGCAGTTATCGGATCGGGGAAGTAGTGCGTGCAGAAAGCCAACCCTCTCAAGGTTGCTCAGGCCAATAACAATGGCCTTTTGCCCAATGCAACTGCTCTAGACATGACAAGACCAGCTCCCACCATTCTGTTTTACTCCCCTTGTTTACACTAGGGGATGTTTGGATCATTAGCAACTCCATTGTTCGTTGGGCAGCAACCAGTCGAGGGAGTAGGGTGCAAGTGCACTGGAATGGTCATGGGGAGCCTGTTATGGTGATGTAACAAAATTACTTTTGGAGTTACAGGGCCACTGGCATTGCCCGGCCATGTTAATAGTACACATTGGAACCAATGACTTGGTCGGTACCAATTTTTTTCTCAATACACCAGCGCATTGCCTTATTTATGCAAGAATGCTGCATGATGTATCCTGAAGCCCACTTAGTCTGGTCGGACATACTGCCCCATGCTCAACTATCTAAAATAGAGAAAAAAATGGTGCGCGGAATGAATGCATCGGTTCTCCACCACCCACAATTTCAGTGGTCAGATTTTTCCCTTTTCCGTTACGATGGGGTTCATCTTTCGGACACCGGTAATGCCCATTTTTGGGCTAATCTCCAAGACTGCATTGCAGCAGCATTTGGGTATTAAAAGGATAAGTTACTACCGCAGGCTCAATTGTTAAGTGTTTTCTCAGGCGGGTGGGTGGTGGTCGCTGCCAGTCGTCCCAGTGGGGTGCGTGTCGCGTGTTTGGCAGATATTCGCTGGGGGCGATGGGCAGGGCCTCTTTTCATACTAAAGGAACAACTTAATTAGTTTTCAAGGTTTTAAGTTTTGAGCATGTTAATCATTCTTGTTTAATGTTAAGGAATACACGCCAAGCACGCTCTTATTCTGGTGGGGCTTATTCCAACCGTATGTGCAAATGGTGGAAAAACACGGCGTTTTCTCTTCAAGTTTACTCTTGGGTATCTGCACAGTAGTTTAAGTCACGTGGCAGATTGAAACTCTGTAACTAGCACCTACTTGTGCCGGTGGGGGCTAAATTATTCTTAGGTAATTTGCATAGTAGTTTAAGTCTCATGACAGATTGAAACACTGTGACTAGCACCTACTTGTTCAGGTGGGGCTAGTTTCCAACCGTAACTGCGAACGGTGGATACACACGTGGATAAGTGTCAAGTGTGGCAAGTTTTGGGCAAGCATGCCCCCTATTCTATGGCAAAGATGCTAAACTTGTGCGCTTCATATTAAAGAAAAAAGAAATAAATGGGTGGCTCGAAAAACAATGCCCAAAAGTCATCGGAAAATAAGTGAATTGGTAACAAATCACCAGAGCAGGATTGTAACTTTTGATCGCCAAAACAACTTCCAATAGTTGTGCACGCGCAGTTATGTCAGTATGTACCTGATTGTATGTTCATTACAAATCTCATCATTGGTCTGTGTTCCTGTAGCATGTGTCATCACAAATAACTATCACATTACCTTTAGAGAGTGCACAACCATTCGGATCCCCATTGTAACAAATCCTTACCCCGGCAAGTCCAACACGAGTCATATTTTACTTTATTTGTAGAAATGTTAAGATGTGATAATGTGGCCAACATTTATTGGATGTCATTAAAAGTCATATTATCTGTGTTTTTTTCCCTTCAAAATATCGATTTTCTCTTGCAAAGCCCTACATGATTTTATTTGGAAAAGAAGTTATGTAAGAAGTTTGCAGCCCAGCATGCTTGAAGGGCACTGTTCAACCACATGCCAAATTTATTCAATTTGAATTGGAAGCACATTGTATCTACCCATTTAATAACTGATACATGTACCTTCCCTGTATCATTCGTTGATGCTGTTAAGCGCTGTAGGTGGAATGGTGCTATTGGAATCCTGTATCTTTGCTGGTTTTTCTTTTTACATGTGTGATGCACTGTGCAGGCGGATTAGCATAGTGCAGGCATTAGAAAAAATTGGTCGTTTGGGTGGCATTGAAAGCTGGAAGTTTCTTGTTAGGATGACACTGACACTGTACCAGTTTTATATTTATTTTCCTTTCAAGTTGCCCCATATTAGTATCTATTGTATGCACATAGACTGGCAATTAATGAGGTCGCTAGTGCATGGTCTGTGCTCTCTGAAGGAATGTGGGTGGCCAGAATTGGGTCCTATTTCCCGAGGCCTTCGGATTATACCAGTTCTTATGTCTTTTGTCCACAATGTAAAATAAGACAAGAAACTTTCATGGTTTTTACATCAATTGTTTAAATTTAACCATTAACTTATAAGCAATTCAACAAGCAATTCCACAATTATTCATGCTTTTAGTTTCCCTAAATTCAGGTTTAGAGTTGCAGTTCATGATGAGAACATCATGGAATGGAATTCATGCATATGCAGTGTCTTGGCATGTGTGCAATTCACATTGATGCAAATTTCATGAACTAGCCTATATTATTACAACCCCTACATGACCAGTTTTCAGCAAGCAGGATAAGGAAGCAGCATGAGGTGTGTTATAATCATGTTTCATTACATCATATCTGATAGGTGCCTGAAATCTGCCCGCCTCCAATTTGGAACATTTTTTGAGGGTGTTAAGGCAATTTCCTTTACCCAAGTTTGTGTCATTTTGTATTTTTCCTTTTCTCCTTCTCTGTGGTTTAGTTGTAGAAATATTGGTTTCATAAAAAATGCATTCACATAATTTGTAACTAAAGACAGAGTGCAGCAGAAATGAAACTTAGGAATTAGTAGGCCAAGCTGGCAAATTCTATTCAGATCTTCTATGCTGATATAAAAAAGGCACGGTATTCGAGTCCCAGCTGAAAAAAACTTGTTTAACCTTTTTTCAAAAGCTCACAGAAAGCACTAAACATTATCCTTACAGTCTGATGGTAAGGAGTAGAATATTGTATTAACATATTTATAATAACAGCGGATTCCACATGTGCAAAAAAAAATTCCATCAATGCATTTTTTGGGTCTTATTTGAGTTACAGAATCTTGTGTTCACATTAATGAAGCCTTATAAGCCTCGCATGTGTGTGCGTTCATATTATTATAGGGAGATTTCTTCTTAATACAGGAAGCACAACCGTCTGCTAGGATCTCTTTCAGTCAATTGGCAACTCTTTCATCAGAACCAGTGGATGATGATGACAAACTTATACGGGAACTTGAACAAAAACAAGCAAAGTTGGAGAAGGCTATTAGGATCCGGCAGTTGCAGGATGAAATCTGCTTGCTGGAAGCAAAGCTTAGTGAGATGAACACCGAGGACTCCAAGTGAGGGCAGTCTAATGAATCAACAGGCAACCAGTCTACAGTGTCAAATGAAATGTCAAAAGGCACTGAGAAACAGAATACAGGTATATTTGGAGCATCACTTCCCCATTTCACCGGGGTAAGAAGAGATACATGATAGAGACAGTGACATTGGGGAGGTCTGGAAAACCATCCTTTGGAACTTGGCCTATGGACTCTAAATTCAAAGGAGCAGTTGCTTTTAGCCTTGTAACAAAGCTCAGATCCACATATCTCGCGTGTACTTAGTAGGGCCTGGTTCAGGTCAGCTCGGACTGTCCTGGCACTGTTGCGCACAGAACCTTTCAAAATTTGTGATCAGTTGCACAGTGACAAGTAGGGAGTCCATTTATATTTAAGATGTTATTTAAGACATCATATTATGGAAAGGAAAGTGTATAGTTGAAGTGGAAGATTTTTTGCTTTTCAGAACATTTCAGTTATAAGAAACAATTGGAAAATACTTAAAGTTGTATTGATTTGATTTTTTTAGGCTAGTTTTTGTACTACTTCATGAGCATCACTTGGCAGATACCAGCACATAACAACTTCTGTATTATTTGTATTCTTATTTCATCGTATTGCATAAGTGTTATATACACCTAGAGAAGTTTACACACCATGGAAAGAGTGACTTTCACAGGTTGATCCACTTTCAGTAAACATGGATTAACGGTACACCATTGAATTTTGTGTCATGCTAGCTGAAGACTGTGGCTCATGCTTAACCAGTTAACGTCGGATTTTCTTTCCCCAAAAAGCTGCCAGGGACAGGGTTTTTTACCTGCAAATTCTTCAACCTTACAATTGCACTTAAATCCAACAATGTACAACGTGTTAATATGTCAACTGCGGAAATGAAGAACAGAATTCTTAAATAAGTGTACATGTCCTCAGATGAACAAATAAGGAAAATTATGTGCTCATACGTCATCCGGCGTCCAGTGGTCAAAGTTCTTCAATTCTTGTATCTACAATTCATTGACTCAATATTTTGTTTATGAAATCCCCAAACCCAGCATTTGGAATGCTACCTTTACACTTGAATTTATATAGAGCATTACTAAAATATTTTGCCTAAATATACTGACTGAAATACATTGCTAAAACCAAGAGTTTCTCATTTTAGAGTACTTGTAAAATGTAATCCATTATGTATATATTTCTTTATGCTCTGGCTTATATACACAAAATTTTGTTCAGAAATTGTTACATTTGTAAATTTGACATTGTTTAAATGTAAAACTAAACATGAATAAAAGAAATCTGTCATTTTAGTACAACTGCTTATATGTTTATGTGTTTATTTCAAAATTTCTTTGTTTTCTATGCACAGTTCACAGATGATAACCAAAATATGAGCTGCTTTTATTTTCTTTCTATCCTATAACTGAGCACATATTAAATTAATAAGTTGCATTTTTATCCTTTATTGAAGATATAAGGTTCTGCTGAAACAAAACACATATTTGAGGGGATTAACCACTTCCTGCTGGGGATTTCAGCTCTGAACACCTATGCTTTATATGTGTGGACGGGGTCTCTGAACTCGGACAAAGGAAACGGGCCTTGTAACAAAAGACTACTTGGAACAAAAAGACCAGGCTACTGGGCATTGCAAACATTTTTTCACTCTCAAAAATCGAGATAATCCAGCATTGTTTTGAAACAGTATACCACTGTTTGGAGCATTTAGATCGAGCGGATTATCACTGGGGACAAAAGCGCTCCATCACTGCAGCAATGAGCCACACAGCACCGCTGCACGCTAATCCCCTATTGAAAAGAGGTCAGCAGCGCACTGTGGCAGGTTCGTGAACAAAAGAAAGTTAGTTAACACCACACAATCTGGGCTTTTTTTACAAGGCTGCAGGCCTGGCTGCATTGATTTTGTCTGCCAGGCTAGAGAGGAGACCAGACAATTCTTCGTGTGGGTATTTTGTGCAGTTAATTAAGATAGGAATTTTTAAAAGCATTTTGAAAACCAAAAAAAATGATAAATATCCTGCTCCAGCATCATCAACATTGATAACTGCCCTGCCAGGAAGTGGTTAATGACAAGTTTGATTTTTTAATAAATCTTTTTGCCTGGAAAGACTTTTACAACTGAATTTTTCCAGTACGTATTGACTGTGTACACCGTGCGACTGCAAAATGTACAGCAAGTTTCAGTCAACCTGATGTATACATTTCTCTTGGGAAATTTGTATGATAAACATCTTTTATAGATGATCTTTATTAAATAATATTAAACTGGTTTTCCAACAAGGCTTTGGACTTGCTTGATGGGGTTGGAGGTCACACATTTTGTTTGCAAGTAAAAAATGGTTACATGTATATTCCAGTTAAAGAAAAGTAAAGGGTACATACAAACCATCTCCTGCTTTTCATATTTGTGATGAGCATAATCTGAGGGATTAATTGTTTTAAAATCAAAGATGTTCAGGGCAGACCTATCATTTCTTGATTGCCTTCATATGCCACAGTCCATCTAATAAGTAGTGGATGTTCTCAACACCGACACCTTTATTGACTGATTTACTGGAAGAGAGGAAAGACAAGGGAATTGATCCACTAAAAATTCAACACTAGCAGACAGCATGTTAGAATCATTTCAAATTCAAATGTCAGCATGTTTGCTTTCAGATTCTGAAGTGGTTTAACTGATGACACTAGACACAGATTGTTTAAAGTTAACTCATCAATTGAATCTCAGTTTGTGAATTCTCATTTTAGGGGTCAGGAGCAATGTTTGAATGAGTCAAGCTGCAGCATTAATGACAGTAACCAGACATTGATACCTCCTCGTAGTCACAAATTTTTCAACAACATGTCATGTTATTCATGCTGACTGTAATGAAAGAGTTTCAATTGGCTCCCTTTCAATTCATATTAGTAGAATAATTACTGACAGATTTCTTTTACTTAAGCAATACTCACATATCATCTGTTGACATCTTCATGACTCCTACTGCCAGTGCATGTTCCTTTCCTTCAGCCATTACTGCCTACACAAATATCTGTTCAGGACATTTCCAAAACCGGTTTTTTAAAGAAGATTCCCACAGCCTCTAAAGACATTTCAGTTAGCCAACAAGATTAGGGCAGTGGCTCAGTTGTGAAAAAATGACCGATTATATTTTGACATAATATAATAATAATAAGCTGAACATACTATTTATCTTTCGTGGAAAACCTGTGCAACTGTGTATTCACTGTCGGCACAAACACAAACTCCAAAACTAATCCTAAAACACAGTGACAAAGATCTACAAGCACAAACTTCTCTCAACTTGAAAATGCCAGAATCTTATATTTTAGGCAAGAAATGTGCATTTAAAAGCTAAGTTTGAATTGAATAAAACTAAAATTTGAAAAGGATACAACTACTGTTTCTTTCTCAGCCTGGACAAGATTGGCACCTGGTGATGTCAGACCAGGACACATGATGTTAGCTCCACTCAAAACAAACTGAATGGCACCCCTATCAACCTGCTGGTGTGGTAGTAGGAAGGGATCTATGGCCAAGAGACAGAACGCTTAATTGATTAGCATTTGTATTTAAAGCATTACCAAAGGCTGTTTAAGTCTGTGAGTAACCCATCTAAAAATACCAACATTTGACCTTTTGATGGCCTTCCTTGTTGACAAAATACTATGCTATTTCACAAGCTGCTTTCCTTCCTCCAATTTTCTTGTCTATAGAAAGATAAAAAGTACAAAACAAATCCTGTTTTTTACTCACATTTATGTAGAAGTTTCAAAGTGGGCATGAAATCATCTCGCTGTTTAAAGAAGATTGGCTCTCCACCAACAGCCAGAATTTCTATGTGATCATGGCTATGGGGTAAATAAAAAAGCTTGAAATTTTGGGGAGTTTGGTGCAGAGGGCTTCATTTCTAAATTTCTTGCCGACAAAAGTATGTTCAAAGTTCCTGAACATTTCTAGAGAATTTGGGAAGGTTCCCATGAATATCAACACATCTTCAGGAAACATTTTCAAATTATTTCCCCAACTAGTAAAGTGTTATGGTTAAATTCATATGCCTCTTTCTTAAGTTTTGTTAACTTTTAATGAAAAATGCAAAGTCATCTCTAGGGAAGCTTCTTCCTATTGCTTTGACTCTGTCCTTTAAAACTATCAGTGCATGGCTCACCATTTGATTAGTTTCATGGGTTCTTTCTTTGGTAGAATCTGATCAATATAATCTTTGATATCGGGATATTTGTCGAGGAGTTTTTCCCGGATACTTCGGATGACTGAGGTCTTGACCTGAGTTGTTCCAGAGATATTCTCTTTATCACTGAATCTGAAAAATAAAGGAAACAAAGAACAGTCATTACAAAGAATGACAACTTTGAAGATCTGAAATCTCCCTCCTATGTCTCAAATCCTCACCAGTTCAGGCCTCGAATTTCTTTTTTTTTAAGGGCACTGCCATTTGGCATTGGTGGACTGCCTGAAATAAAGGGCAGTAATGCCAAACGTGAGGGCATTAATGCCATCAGTGTACCAAAGTTATGGACAGGCATGGATGCCATCCCGATTTTTTTTATAGGCCCATTGCAAGAAAATCAGTATTCATTCAGGTTTAAGAAAAGCATCACAGAAGCATCACGGCCAAATGGGAGGGCACCGATGGCCATGGCTGTAGAACCGTTGGGAAATTTGAGGCTTGCCAGTTTCACAGTAACTGTATGGGGGCACTTGTAAGTTTCAATAAAACTAGTCCCCCCATTGGCAACCCAACATTTGATGTCACCGGAGCAACAGCAACAACATCGTCTGCCGACAAGTCGGATCGGCTGTAGTAAAAATTACGTCACCATAATCCACGCATGTACGTTGCAAACGTCATTTTGGGTATCAGTAATGCTCTAATTTGGAAAAATCAACCAGTTAATACGTCTTGAATGAGGAATTATTTCTTGCATTAATTACTTTGGTTTTGTGGTGCAGTTTGAGGAAAAACACTTTTATTGGCCTACTTGGACTTCTCACCACTTCCTCTTTTTTGTTCTCCTAGTTTTTAATTTTGTTCAATTAAATTTCAAGTTACAGTGCAGCACAAATTTTTATTCTTTCAGAAAAATCATAATTAGCATTAGTATGAGTAATTGATCTGGGTATTATGAAAGAACTTCACTTTCAACGTGTATTTCTGAAAAAAGTCCCAAAATACATTAACGCTGAATCCGCGCCTGTCGTCAGCAATGGAAATCTAAACATATAAGGTGCACAGTGCCTTTTCAGGCTCTGTATTTTTGATAATGCCCTCAGTAGTTGGTGAAAGTTGACTGAAGTCGTCATCAGTGCCTGTGTCAGATGTCCAACACCAATCTTGAGTGAACAGCGATCATTTATCCATTCATTTTAATTTTTGTATTTGGTCTGTACAATAAAATACCAAGCTCTGCAAATATTTTTCCTAAATTCACACTGAAAAAGGCAAACGCTTTTAATCTGCACATAGGCCTAGCTGCAGAAAGAAAAATGCTGAAGTGACGATCGATCAGTAAATTAACATTTCACGACAAGAAAGTTGGACACCTAAATATTTGTTTGCACAAATTTAACATGTTTAAGGTACTCGACGATAGGCTGAGACAGACATCTGGGACTTTTGGAAAATGGCAGGAAGCAACCTCACCACTTGAATGAAGATGACTGCAACTAGCCCCTGCGGTGGCTCATATCCTCAGAGACTGTGGGGTTCGTCATCCGCTGCGCTCTTGTGGGAGAGCAGCGGACGACGAACTCCACAGTTCTGGGAGTACTATTACTAAGGACCATTTACTAATAGTAATACGCCTAGAAATAGAATGCCTGGCCTTGGTCGTGCCTTTTGATCAAATTCAAACTGGACATGCTGGACAACCGGGCCAAATTATTTTTCAAAATCCGTGCTTTAGAAGTTGATTGCTCAGAAATCAATGATGGTAACTTCTACTCACTTTTTAAACATCTTAGGAGTATAATAATTCGGCCCAGCTCCAGGATGTAACTTTGAGGCCCGGTGAAAACAACATGCATGTGCCACCTAGTGACTGGTGAAATGCTGGATCGATGTTCGATCACTGATCAGTGTGTTAATTCGATGCATGATAATAATTTGTTGATAGCGCCCTCCAACGAGTAATGTTGTCAGGTACTAGGTACGTGTGAAGTATCCAAGATGGCGACTTCCATTGCGTTTGAAAGTCAAACGAAGCGACGCAGAGAAAGAGATGAAAAGCGTCGAGCACAAGCACTTATCCTTCAAAAGGTATCGCTACTTTCATTAATGATGTACCATATAGAATTCTTTTGAGACTATTGAAACAGAATTTCTTCAGACGCGGTCCAAATTTTCATACAAACACATTGGTCCAGTTTCCGGACCACTAGGCCTACATTATATTATTAGTGCGGGTTTCGAGTCAACTCGGACCCAAACCAACTCGGACCCATTCCAACTCGGACCCATGCCAACTCGGACCCACGACCAACTCGGACCCACCCTGAGTCAACTTGGACCCAACCCCAGGAGCGTGATTAACTTGTTGAAAATTTTTATTTTGTCCTTTTTTACATTTTAGCATTTGGTTAATGACACTTTTGCACTGCATGCTGCCAAGCTGTAATGTCCTCTCTACACGTTATGCAGGGAGACAGTGGCACAGGCTTCCGAGAATTTCTCCGTTTTCCAGATCCAGATCACCAGCAGAAATCGAATCAACTTTCACCAAACAGCCCCCAAAGTTTTTGTTGCAATAAAAAGCCACAGATAGGCCCTTCTGATGTACATAAGAGATGCTGCATACGTACAACAGATACTGCAGATATGCATCAATGTCATGAACATTGACCTTTTACAGTGTCTAATGGTGTTATCCCCCACCTCACTTTTCATTTTTTTTTGGCCAGGCAAGTCTTACACCTCCACCTTGCCCCATCCCCCCCAATACCGG